ACTGTTTACCAAGTAATTGAAAAACAATTTAACCACCTAGGTTATGCATCTTTTAAAAGGAAAGAAGTTTGATCACATATCTGTTTCTTCAGGTGTTCTATTAAGTCACGAAAATAATCTATTTTAAAAAGCTCCATATTTAGTATTTAATACCCAAACCTTTGGCAATGCATATGAATATTGATGAGCCTGATCATGTTGGATTTTGTGGATACATTATTTAATGTGCATACTTAAACTAAGCAACTTAACTCACCATTTCATTCACTGGATACAACTTTTTCCTGGGATCAAAATTACAAGCTATATAAATGCTTTAGCTGCTTCTTGTTATTTTCAATTTTTGAGGTAATTCTAATTCTTATATATTTTTTTCATTTGATTGATTGGAGTTTTTGTAGACTAGCTACTTACATTCTGAGACATTGAAGGAAGAAAATATATATTTAAATAATGCATATCTTAATTGATATAAATTTTCAGGCAGAGCCCCCAACGATAGTGGTGGCAACAATAAGAAGTTTGTCCCAAATGCTTGAGAAGCAAATATTTAAGCTAGGCTCTGTTCGTGTGCTGGTTATTGATGAGGTAATTAAACCACTATCTGGTGATCACCCACTCAATTGTTATGCTGTGTTCATTTGCTGGATAACACATTTTCTTTCAACTTGTACATTTAGATGTTAGCTGGAAGGAAGATTTAAGAGATTGGATTAGTGATGTGTATTTCTTTTTCCTTGTCAGTTACCAAAATGATTCAGGAGTCTCTCTGCATTCCTAGAGTTCCCATTGAATTCAACATAGCTCTTTAACTAATTGTTTTGGGGTCAGAGGTCTCTAAATGATTAATTAACATGTCAAGTTAGGTAGTCTATAATTGTTTTATCAGGCATAGCTGATTTCTAATTGTATCGGTTACTTCTCATACTGAAACATCTCTTTCTGAGCATAATTTTCAACAAAATGAAATCGTCCAGTCTCTGTTTGTAGGTCGATTTTATATTCAACTCTTCAAAACAAGTCAGTTCTCTTCGGAAACTCTTGACCATATATTCATCCTGCAATGACCGCCAGACTGTTTTTGCCAGCGCATCCATCCCCCAACATCGAAGATTTTTACATGACTGCATACAGCAGAAATGGACAAAGGTTTTGCCAATGGTTCTTCTCTTGTTATCTTCATTGGATTTACTATGGTGCTTCCATTGGCTTTATAACTTGCATTATGATTTCTGTATTATTTGCAGATAGATGTGGTTCACGTCCATGTCAATCCAATCAAGCCTATGCCATCATGCCTCCTTCATAGATATGTAGTAAGGGAAATTAAGTAATGGGATTTAACCTATCATATTTGCTTGGACCTTTTCATGATTACATTCTGTTGTTTGACAGATCTGTAGTAGAAAGGAGAAGCATCGAATATTGTTATCTTTGTTACAATCTGATGCACCTCAGTATGGCATTATTTTTGTTGGTGAGCAGGTTGGCACAGTTTATTCCTTCTTGGTGTGCTAAATTTAGGATAATCATGTCAAATTATGAATGGTTTACCTTGATATTCAAGTAATAACATATCCTCAATTTAAGTAATGGCATATATTATTTAGTTTGAGATTATATATCTCAAGGAAGGATCATGAAGGAATTTTACATATGAACTCAAATAGTGAAGTAGTCTTACTTTCTTTTTCCTCTTTTCAGACTTTCTAGCTATGTAGTAATAATTTAGGATTTGTGACCACAAGATAGGATAAGGGTCAGGTAGATACCAAGTTTCCAGAGTAGCATTGTGTAGGTATTGGTTCAATAGAATACATGCACATGAACATACATATGCTACCTGTCATTTATTTACGTCTGTTCGTTGCTTCTCAGTTCCCCAACTATTTACTATTCATTTCCCATCTATCAATGCAGTCTGAGAGGTCAAAGAAAGCTGGAAAAGCTCCCTCAACAATACTGTTGATTGATTTCTTGAAGACTTCATATGAAGGGGCTTTGGAGATCCTACTAATGGAAGAGGACATGAATTTCAATTCACGAGCAGCTTCACTATCAGTAAGTACAGAATGGTGGAAAACCAAATTCGTGTTGTTGTGATATACCTTTTATTCAGTAAGAGATAATGTCTCAAATAAAGCAGAAGATTATTTATTCTTTTATTTTTTAATGAAGTTTTAAAGGTTGAAACTTCATAGCAAAGTTATATATTTTGTGGGTATAAGTTATTATTCCTCTCATTCCTGATGAAGTATTCATTTTCTTTTATGGCAAGTATTTGGTTTTTTAAATGTTATACCATGCTCATAGGGGTACCTTATACTTTCTAATATCCATTTTGGTATACAGGAAATGAGACAAGGAGGAGGTTATCTTCTTGTATCTACTGACATAGCAGCTAGAGGAATTGACTTGCCAGAAACAACTCATATATACAACTTTGGTCTTCCCAAAACTGCTATAGATTATTTACATCGTGCTGGAAGAACAGGTAGGAAGCCATTTTCAGATGAGAAATGCATCGTAACCAATATTATATTGGCAGAGGAGCGATTTGTTTTGCAAAGGTATGAAAATGAGTTAACGTTTAACTGTGAAGAGCTTACTTTAGTGGCTCAATGTTAAATTTTGATCTATATAAAATTTCCTCTGCCTTCAAGTTCATCAAATATCCTTTCCATTTCGAGAGATATGATGGAATTGCAAAAACAATCATCTTGCTCTGGGAAAAAGTTGTCCAACAAATTAATACATTACTGCCAAAAGAAACATGAAGAAAAAACAATCATGATACACTTTTCTAGCTGCCAGTCATGCCAACATCAACACATTTATATTGATTTTTGCAAGAGATGAAAGGGTGAAAATTTCAAGTTGGTGGTAGAATCCTGGTTGCCTGCCTTTTCAGGTTTCACTCATTGACTCATATAGTAAGTTTAGAATTTAGAATGAAAACTCTATTCCTGTTGATCACAATTCAATCTCTGAATTACATACCTAATTTTTAGATCATTAAATTGTTAGGTTTTCTTCAAGCTTTAAATGCATGCTGACTTATAGTTCTTCAAGTGCCACTGTATTTTGCCTTTCACAGTGTATGGAAACCATTTAGGTTGATAACCATATTCAAGTTTTGAAAGAGGTATAATTTTGAATGTTACACAAAGCAGAGCTGGACCTGCATCATGTGGAAGCCATGGTGCACTGCCTTCATGCATGGATTTTTATAACAGTTGATAGAACACCTTAAGGCTGGTCACATATATTACTGTTACTAGTTCACATAATACTTTAATGATACTACTTGTTCTTGATTCCATCTTAGTCACTAAAAAAAATGGCGTTTGGAAAATTTTATTATATAACAAAACCATCTTGAATTACTGAGTTCTTCAATATGATTGTAACACCTGATCGGATGTAGAACCCTTCTAAGGATCTGTCAGCCTCTTGTATGCCCTGCAAAATTTTCCATAAATGGAAACAACTGTAAGTTAGAAAGTACCAATTATGATTTACAAAGGTGCTAATGATATTTTTTATTTATTGATGCTAAAGAGATGGAAAAGAAATGGAAAAAACAACATTTAATTCAATTTGAAAATTTTAATTATGTGTCTTAATTAGAAAAATGAAACAGAGGTTTTGATAACATATTATTTCAAAAGGCAAGCCCTAATTTTCTTTGGACGATTAGATGCCATGTGGAGAGAATAAGAACAACAGGTAATAGCTCAAATCAAATTCAAAGATTAGTTTAAGGAGGTAGATTAATTAAACTGTTGTCATGGATTACTCTTACTGCTGAGTTTGCAATGACAACATTCTTCCCTATTCTGGCATTTTTGTCAATGATGCAGTCTCTGCATAACGTAATAGGATGAACTGTGAGAAACCATTGGTAATCACAAAGGGGGGAAAAGAAGAGTAGTTCAAGTTATTTATACTTGATTTTTGTGTTTTCTCCAATGCCAATAGGAACTCTTCCCTCAGCTAAAAGTGATGCAACTTCGGCATCAGTTTCATAGTAATCAGCTCCTAGCATCATTGTGTCCTGCATATATTTGGGCATCATGAGATTCTATACCCTTGAACAGATCAGAGGAAAAAGAAAAGAAGCTCTACCAAACCTGTAATACAAGTCCTATTTTCTATGTACTTAACAAAATTTATGTTCCCTCTGTGATATTGTATTGCTCTCTTATAAATTGCATATTTCTATGGCCATTTCAGGCTGTTCTTAGTACCAGTGCTTTTGTGTGTCTGCATGGAGCCTGTGTTACTACTGTTTTTGGGGGGCTTATCATTAAAAAATTAGCAAAAGAGTTCATAGGTTTATTAACTGGTGGAAATGTAAAGCAAACCTTTAAGTGAACACCAGAGTTTATTCTTGATCTGATGCCAACAACACTGTGTTCTATAGAGCAATCAGTTAAGAAACTTCCATGGGAGATGATTGAATCAACAACCTGCATGAGAGTTACAGAAGATGAAATAACCTTCAAGTAATTTCCTCTGTCGGAATGCATGAAAAGCAAATAGGTTTGTGGTTCCCCTTTTTACTAACCTTGCTGTTGTCAATCTTTGAAGGTGGTAGGTTTCTCCTTGATGTATATATTGGTGTTGCTGCATCATAGAAGCTAAATCTTGGTGGCTGAAAGGTGTAGGGATAAGTAAGACCAATGCAAAACCATTTACAGCTAATACGTAAAATGGTATTCATGACTAGAAGCCAACATATAAATAATTATAAGGTCAGTGTTTTACAGAGAAGGTAATCTTTATAGTTTTTCCTTTTTATTATCAGCAAGCAGGTACTCTTTATGTGTTAAGAAGGGCTGTCACTTGTGATCCATTTTGAGTAATTTATTGCTTGTTTAAGTGTCTTGAGTTCTTTGGACATTGTTAAATTTGAGAAACTTGTCATGGCAAGTTTAGCAGAGGCTGCATTCCTTGGAATTACTGCTAGTCCATTACTAATTCCAGGTGCAGCCTGCAATAACTGACATGAAAGGTATGTGAAATCTCAAATGTATATTTTGGCACTTACATGTTCGGTGAGAGCAAGGTTTGCCTCAAAGTAGGATCTGATGGTCCCTATATCTTCCCAATAATCATTGAAGAGGTATGCCTGCTCAAAAATTTCATTTGCACATCAACTTTATAAATATGCCGAATCAACAATTTAGCAGTTTTGTCATATAGATTAAGATTTGATTACCTTTACGTAGAATTCTCTGGCTGAGGCAGGGATTATTTCTGATCCGAAGTCATTTGCTGTTGGAAAACGCCATCTGACAGGGTAACAATTTGCAAGACTTAATGCCTCTCTATTTGGCATTGGCAGCATGGTTGTTGATCAATTAATTAAGACAGTTTTATTCTTTGTTCAATTTCTTTTAGAAAAAACCTGATCTCTATGACTGTGAAGTACATTGTTTGATATTTAGTAACTTCAAGTGTTTTGTACCTCAGAAGGTTCAAAAGTATTTCCTTCTTGAAGACATACACTCCCATTGAAGCAATGTACGGTTTCTTATCAGCCTCATCCTTTGAGAGTCCCAGTACAGTTGTATCTACTGCCTAAAGCAGCATGCATTGGTTTCAGCAGCACAATCAAAAATTCCTAAACCATTTTGAAAGCAATGTCCGTCAGGGATTTAAAGGGTATTACCATTGCTTTCAGGTCCTGTCCTTTCGGCTTTTCACTGAATGACAGAACCCTTCCTTTGTTGTCTATCTTCATGAGACCAAAATCTGAGGCACGGCTATCAGAAAAAACAGCAGCAAAGGTAATGAACCATCATTTAGTAGAGATATATAAAAGATGAGGGCCACTTTTTTTCTTGATAATGATCAAAATGATCATCTACCTGTCATCAATTGGCAGACAAGAAATTGTGATGTCTGCGCCACTCTGCCGATGATTCTGTGAATGAAGAAAGAAATACTGAGATCTGACAATCTGAGACTTGGTAACAGTGAATGTATAAGCAAATTCAGTGACCATACCTGAACAAAGTCCATGTAATCCATTCTGTACAAGTGATCCCCGGATAAAATCAGTATATCCTCTATGTCCTTGCTTCTTGCATCCTGCAGCAGTGCAGGAATATATAATATGCTTTTGGTTATGTTTGGGTTTCAAGATTCAGGGGTTCAAGAAACTGTGGTCATTTCGATTACCTCAAAAAGCCAATGGAATTGTCGCACAGCATCTGCAGTACCCTGGAACCAACTTTTACCAGCCTGTCCTGGAGTTTGAGTGGCTGCTAAGACCTAATTTCAAACAGAAAAGTCTTCCATTTTACATGCTGCTAAGACACAGATCTGGACATTTTTACCAGTTCAGAAACGCACCTCCATGTAGCCATCTCCAAAGCTGAGTCCATTGCCGAAGTTGTAAGCACGAGAGAGATGCCTATTGAGGGATGCCGAGTTAAACTGAGTGAGAATGTAAACCTTGTTGATACCACTGTTAATGCAGTTGCTCATTGGCACATCAATCAGCCTGTAAGCTCCTCCAATTGGCACCTACAAAGCATGAAACATTGTCCTAAGCACAATACCTGAAGAATCATGAGGTTCAAGGTTCAGATCTCCATTTCTCCTGCAATGACACTTACTGCTGGTTTGGCCCGTTGCTTGGTGAGAGGAAAGAGACGAGTGCCGGCACCTCCTCCCAAAATAACTGCCACAACTGTCCTTGCATCCAGCTTTTCCATCTCTAGGTCCCTCAGCTGCGTCCACAACCCCATCCGTAATATATGGTCAGTAGTCAATCCCCATTATAAGGTGTTCGTTGCATGTATGCAAGTCCCCTAATAGGACTGCAAAACAAGAATCATTAGAGAAGGAAACAACTTCCAATATCAAAGGCCTATCTCTTCATTTATGTAGGATTTTTCTAACGTGAAGTTAAAGGGTGTATTTAATATGCTTTTTAGTCATTAAATCATATAAAAAAACAAAAAAAAAAGAAGTTAATATTAGTTTTAACCAAACTGCAATATGTATTAGTTTAATTAAATAATTATTAAAATTAAATTTTTTTTATAATTTAATGACTAAAAGCGTATTAATTATATTTTCTGTGCGCAAATTAAAAAAACCCATTTATATATGTATGTATGTGTTTAAATGAAGAGGTAAGGAAGATGATTCATTTTAATTACCTTACTCTCGCCCAGCACATCAGTAGTGAGTGACATGCAAATATATTGCTTGACATTCTTACTTTGAGCTTGTCGACGGAGTTGCTTCATGTTAAGCTTCTTCCCCATGAAGTCTCCTTTACAGAACCCCACAAGCCTCAAGTTCCTAGTAGGGAACGTTCCTCGTAACTGGGTGGCAGCCGAGACCGAAAACCGGCAGTCGGCTGAGACAGCCATCTTCTTGAGAACTGATCAAGGAGAAGAGAGAGGAAATAAATTTGTTGAAGAGGGGAGAAAAGGAGAGGTGATTGTGGGAGAGGGAGAGGGAGTGGGAATGTTTGCTTGCATGCAATGGATGCTATTAATTGGAGGATTGGGCCACGTTATCCGAAATCAATTGCGTTTGCATCCACCAATTTTTTTTGTTTGTGTGGACTCTCGGGCCTTCAAAAGAAGGAATATTCTACAGTCTGCCATATCTCACATGCATTATTAGTTGACTCCGAGGAAGGTGTGACTTAATTAGTAATTGAGTTTATTTTTTATTTTGTTAATTAAGATT